TCACCCAACCCCCAAGCACTGTGTTTGTCAAGGATGCACGTGTTTTCCTCCTACCACTTCCTACTGCCAGGTAGGAGGATTAAATTCACTTTGAAGTAAATGAAGATAGTTTGGTTGCATATATAAGTCAAGGTATAGGAATATTCTACAGAACTTCAGAAAATTTTTTTGCAAGTAGAGTCAAAGTTTTCTCCCCTTCTATAGAATTTATTTACAAGAGCTACCAATTTTAACCCTTTGGGAACAGCAGTTTTGGCTGCGGAGAGCAACTCCGGCTACCACCCAGCTTCAGAGGTGGGAATCCACCGGCTGTGCCGCTGAGCTGCAACCCCATCTCAGGCCAGTGTTGGTAGAGCACCCACTGAAGCACCCACCAGAAACCTTCGCCTCAACTTCAGCCAAGGGTCAATGGACTCCAAAAAGCTTTCTCTAGTTTGAATGAGTGCTTGGAGGCTTCTCTCCATCTCTTCTGGAGCAGGTAAAGCACTGGGTACAGGTGCGCCTTTCCTCAAACGTCTGCTTCCAGGAGATGACTTTAAGTTGGAGGTGACCCAAATATTTGTTTCAGTGCTCTTTGTAATTTTTGGACCATCATGGAAAAGAATTTGAAAAGAAGCAAGATGAAAAGCCTTTTTCTTATTTGAACCATAAGTGTACAAGCATACATCACCAATACAATACAGTATGTAAGAGCATAGAGAAAGCATACAGTACAGCCTTGCTAATGTCAATTAATTTAAAAGCAAATACAAAAATGAAAGTTTATGTCCTCTTATGACATTAAAAGAAGGACCTTTTATCTTTGCACACAAATATCAAACTACTATGTCTTAACTTACATAGGGTAGGGTCTTCTCTTTGCTGGACACACAAAAATAGCACTTCCAAACTTAAGCAACTTGAAAGCTTCCTTCTGACTGACTATATCCCTTTTACTGCAATTTGGTCCCTATCCTAATCCTTTCACTTTTGCACGGACACTTTAAATCTCTCAAAATCTTAATGATTAATTAAGGAAACAGCTAAAACCCCCAAAACTCCTCAGTCAAGATTTTAAACTTGCAATTTTAAAAAAGTAAGTAATTTTACTATGTCCCCTTAAAACATACATATAAACAGAAAACCCCAACATTTTTACATAATAAAACTGGAGGGGGAGGATATGGAATGGCATAGTTAAGCTCTTGCTAACTTTCAAGAATGCTGAAGGGGAAATGTTATTTCTTTTTTTTTTTTTTTTAAACTTAAAAGTCATTTCAGGCTACAGCAAAAGGTTTACAAAGGGAGTTACCCTGGAAAGCAATGAGCATGTAAAAATGAGGAGGCTATAACTAAAGATGTTTTTTTGATCCTAATTATACCATTTGCTACCAAGAAAATGGGACAGTGATTTTGCAGGTGTG